GTGACCATAGTGAAGCTTACCGCCAATTTGTGACAGTGCTCTGGCTGCCATAGTACCGAAGGTCTGCTCCTTACCAGCAGCAATATCACCAAGAATACCAATGTTTTCAGAGAAAATATATTCACGAGCACCTAAGATAGCAACTGGAGATTTCTTGAACTCTGACTGACCGAAATGCTCATAAGGCGACTGATTTGAAACAGCATATTCTTCAAATTCACCAAGAACGTTACGGATCTTAAGACACTCTTCGAGGTAATTGTCCTGATATGTTGTGAGCTGATGCATAATTATCATACCCACAAAAGAATACTCACCTGATTGGCATCGATAAGCTGGAGGTATTCACCGCGGTAGAAAATCATTGCATGGTTTTGATTGTCCGATTTACCATCACCGAGAATTGGGTTACCTGGTAGCTCGACACGGAACTTAGGACGACGTTTACCATCAGGCATAATTTCCGAGTGACCGTCAATCAGCGCTGAGAACATACGTGGTTCAGCACCCTCCTTTCTTGGTGGCTCTTCGTCGATGTATGCGATCTGGAGGTCTGGATAAGCGCGCAAAACAAACTCTGCATTCTCTTGCTCCTCCTTATTGAATTTGGAGTATCTTTGCATAGAGATAATGAATTTGAATTTACGTCTGGACATGTACTCCAATTCACGTTCCAATCTGTCAGTGTTACCACCAAAGAGCTGTACCACCTCTGGGTTCTCAACACGGTAGAGTAACTTGATTGCCTTGCTGTAATTCATAAATCCGGAAATGGTACGGTAGAGAGTTTGAGCTCTAAGTGATGCCCAGATACGGGTACGCAGTGTGTACTCTGGTGCTGCACTCTTGAAACCAATGCAGTAAAAAGGCAAATCGTCTGTCTTCTTTGGCGTGTCTTTTTCGTCTTGTGATGGCGATCCACCGAATGGATAGCTACCGGGACCACCATATGCTGCCGATTCTTCTGCCAATATCTTAGTGTCTTTCACGAAGTTATCCCACTCCACTGGGTGCAATTGCTTAAGGTACTCAAGCATTGTAACCCTTGTGTTGGTATCTTCTTCACGAATAATTTCTCTAAGAGATAACAGAATCTTTTCGGAGTAGTGCGGAACCAAGACCGTGAAAGTTGGCATTGCATCGACTGGTAGAGGTTCAGGGATAGAAGTAGTCAATGACTGAGAGAAGAAAGAGATACGACGCTCGGCTTCTGAGCCCGGTGGGAAGAACTCCGCCTTGAGACCGCGGTCCTCCTGGCTGATGAAGAAGGCTGGTGCTCTAAGTGTGCGCTTGCCATCATGTTCTGACGGAACTTGGTGGTAGAGAAGCTTTTGGACGTGGTCGATCGAAAGCAGGTGCTCACGATACATAGATATAATGATTGCGTTCCACACTTGCGATACCAGCACCTTAGGTTTGTATTTGACTTCCATGTCAGCTGTAGCGAGCAACTTGGCGTAAATACGCTTAGGAAGGCGCTGGAAGATATCTTTCCAAGGCGTCCAGATGGATAGACCGAGTGCGAATGAACGCGCAACAGAGAATACGGATGACCAGATGACATACCATAGGTACTGTGGGACTGTTAGAATTAAAGCGTTGCATGTACATCCAACTCACAGTGTCTAAGAAGAAAAGACTCAAGTCCATGATAAACATGATTGTCAGGGTAAATGCAGCTTGGTTGGTACACAAAGCATCACCAAAGAGCTTATCATTGCAATTTTGAATCTTCATTCCAACCATGACAGCCAATGGATCCTTGAACGAGAGCGTCAAGAAGAAGTACGACTCAGTGAACTTGCATCCAAAGACCAAAACCCAGAGAAGGAGTGAGGTGACACGTGCGCTGGCGGAGAGAGATGGATAGGATGCAGTGAATGTTTGACTGGCAGCGTACTTTCTATTGTTACCGCTAACTCTGTCACCGAGAATACGACCAGAAGGAACGATACCGAAAAAGACAGTGACCAAAACAGAGAAGGCGAACTGACAAATAGAAAGAATTAAAGCTTTCCTAGTTTCTCTGTCGTAACCAGCAATGTAGATGGTTGGTCCCACACAACCAGCCAAGCAAATGATCAGGAAGACAAGCTTGCGGGAGAGATTCGACGCGTTGTGCCAAGTAGTAGGAATAAAGATAAGTTCAGCGAGAGTAGCGCCAAGCATAATAACGGTTGCGACACCACCACCGAGAGCGGTAGCAGACCACTGCATTGGCTTGGTTGGAGCAGGGTCACCATAACGACGGTATACGTTTGGAGCGTTCCAAGCAGTAAAGTACCAAAAGACAGCAATGTGAGCGATCCAAATACGATTAAAGTTGACCAACAAGTGAAAGAAGGATCTGGATTCCTTGAAAGTCTTGAAGAAAACGGCATACCAGTCAATCTTGTCAAACTTTAGGAAACGTTGGGCTGGAGGGATGTCGACTAATCGAGTCTTATCACTGAGAACAATCCTGTTAATACCTTCAGGGTACCAGAAGAGCTGATTAATATCGTCGTAACCAATAATTTTTTCGTGGTCCTGTTCACGCTTAACAAACTTTCCATCGACAATCTCGTATCCCTGGTCACGATAATATCTGTAGAGGGGCTTGATAACGGCGCGAAGGTATAGGCCTTCTGGAACAGGGTCTGTTCTGCTCTGACACTCAGGGGAACGATAGTAATCGTCTGCGCACTTGAAGATGAAACAAACGCATTCAGGCATGAAACGAACGTTACCAGCTTCACCCCAGCAGAGAAGGTATAATGCGATTTGACGAAGTCTGTCGTAGGGTGACATGTTGTTCATTGCCTCGCGCCAGCGGCTCTTGGCAGATTCAAGAGATTTCTGACCAGCTGACATGAGTTTAGGCTTCTTACCCTTAGGGAAGGGGAAGGTGCCCAAGTTGGATTGACCAATTGCATCGTCGAGATCGAGTTGAGCAGCAAAGTACCATTTGCGGTAGTTGGCGTGCTCACCACCGATGTAATCGGCGTGGAGAGTGGTCAAAGCCTGGTCAGGACTCATTCTCGAAGACCTAGAATCGAGCTGAATCATGAGGTGGTCGAAGAGATTCCTCGAGGAATCGCGCTGAAAACCGAATTTATTGGTCAAATCGATGAAAATATCTTCGATTTCTTCTTTGGACATTGGGATTTGATTTTCAACGGTCCAGCTCGGGTAAGGCTCACGGGGCCTCTGTTCGCGAAAACTGGGGTGAGGACCACCGAGAAAAGAAGGGGAACTGGTACCAGAGTTGTAGGCGTTTTTGTTGTTCATGAGGGAGTCGGTGGAGGCACCAAAACTGTTGTCAGGTCTGCGGGCTGAGGAAAGTGTGAGGGCTATAGAGTCATAAAAAGACGGAATACTCACGGTAATCCCAATCAGGCTCGTTGAAAGGATCGTCTAGCTCATCGATTGAGTGGTTATGCTGAGCGTGGTTGCTGTAATGCTGACCGTTGTAGGCCATATTTGCAGTCAGATTGAGAAAAGGTATAAATTAAGCTAAAATGATAAAATCAAGTATTTCTTGATTATTTTATTTTTAACTCTTGGTGGTTTCCTGTAAAGGCTGCGACACGCTAAATTCCAAGCAGAGAGGGGCGCGGAGATGAACTAATTTGGAAGGTTAGACGGGTGAAACGCGGAAAACGCAATAGACGAATGTACGCAATGGGTAAATTAATTTTTATATTGTATATTATATTCGTTTATACATTCCATCACATTTTTGTAATAATGAGGTACTTATGAAAATATTCACTAAAGCGTTGCCTCGTATACGCGTTCATTGGAGTACATTAAGGGTGTCTTAGGTGTTCCGCGGACATGTAAAGAACCGTGCCTTGTTATCTAGCAACATCTCCTAGAATCAGTGAGGTCATTCAACGCACGGGCCAAGGTACTGAGGATTGAAATAAATAGGGTTATAATGGGTGGAGGGGTCGTGTGAGTTGAATGGTGGTGATTAAAGTGTGGAATTTCTATTATTCGTCTGGATCTCTCCATGTCTGGTGTTCTGAGATTGATGTGATATTCACCGTATATAATCTCGCAGTCAGTGCATACAGACGCAGTCATCAAGTGCGGTTAGTGCATCCAAGAAGAACACAATGAATTTACGAATATATTTTATTAATTGCTTGTTTCTTGCTCACTGATTCCAATTTTTTGTTACTCCCCTTCATTCCAGTCATCGTAGCTGCGCTGCTTCCTTCTCCCAGCCATTGTCAAATACCCACGAGATGGATCGCCATCTCCCAGCGCCCACTCCTGCGCCATACCCGTCTAAGCCCGCCATCTCCCACTCTACCAGCTCCCGCGCAAACTCCCACCGCAACAAAGTCAGGAAGAGAGTACGCGCTAATTCTCCATTGAGCAAGAGGTACGGCGCTGGGACTGCCCCAGACAACGATGGCTATCCTGACTGCGATAGCGTTGGCAACGATGTCGTTACGTGTTACCCGAGTACAGATACCTCACTCACCTCTGGTGATTATTCTAAAATCATCTGGAATCCAAATCTGCCCCAGTTGTCGGTTCTTATTTCTGTTTATCCCCCCATCTAACTTCCATCCAGCACTGAAAACGGCAATCTCGATATTTATCTCTTTTCTGCCGATACCGAGCAAGTCGTTGAAAGCTGGCAAGATGTCCCCAATCAGCGTGGCTCTCAGCCTATTCACCCTGGTGATAATTGGTGGTCTCCTATCGATGACAGCTGGGGTCCTTACGATGCTCAGGATCCTTCTCAGTGGTCTGACACTACCCGCGACTGGACTTATTACGCCGTTCTCAAGCCAGCGGGTCAGTCTCTTGATGGCGGTGAAGAGCACCAGGCCACTTTCACTGCTGTCCAAACGGCGCCTTTACAAAATCTCGTTCAATCTTCTTCATCTTCCTCATTCTCTCTAGCCAGTTCCAGGTCAAGTGTTTCTAGTGTTTCTACCGTTTCTTCGGCGTCTACAGCTTTCACTGCGTCCATGTCCGATCCTTCCTTTGCTTCCAGCGTTTCCACAGCCTCTACAGCCTCTACAGCCTCCATGTCCGGCTCTGACCAATCCAGTGCGGCCACTGCACTTGCAACGGAGTCCATTATATCGTCAGTCTCAAGTGTTTCTTCGGCCTCTTTAGCCAGTCTATCGTCGATATCCGCGTCCGACAGCGAGCGCTATTCATCGATAACCCAGTCCAACCTATCCACCCAGTCGGTGTTGTCGACGGCAGCGTCCAACAGTCTGCTCACAACGACAAACTCAAACGGCGACAAAATTACATCTTCAGTGAGGGTGACGCCCACGGGCGTGCTGCAGAACCAGAGCGCCGATGATGATTTCCCAGCATGGGCGATTGCGGTGATAGTAGTGCTCGGCGTACTAGCGCTGCTCGGAATTGCGGGTGGAATGTATCTGCTAGCGCGACACTGGCGGAGCGCACGTGGTGCAGCTGCCGCCACTGCTGCGGAGGCGGGTGGAGCGGCTGGCGGGGCTGCTGGTGCTGGTGCGGGTGAGGGTTCTGCAGCTGCTGGTGCTGCTGGTTTAGGTGCTGGTGCCGGCGCAGCGGCTGCAGGCGCCGGTGCACGGTCTAGTGGTGCTTCTTCGGAGAACGGAAATGCAAACGGGGCGGATAGAGAAGGCCCCATTACGTCTAATGAGGCTGCTGCTATGGCCGATGCTTTCAGACAAGCACTCCGATCGCCTGGCTTTGACGCTGGGGCGGCTGGAGTGGCTGCTGGTGAAGGTGCGTCGGGATTACAGCAGAATTCTGCAGCGAGACAGCCGGAAGTGGTACATGGCTCTGAAGCGTCGCACTAGCCTACAACCACTTATAGCCACTTATAGCAACTTGACATGACTTAATTTATTTGTAATATGGACACTAACTTGGTCTAATGAATTTATATATACCTTTGTTAGTTACCGCGATGGCTCACAATGATGCGTGGATCAGCGATGCGTTTTTAACTCATTTAGGCGTTGCAGATGGGAAAATGGTCGAATACGCTAAGGATATTGCATCCACTGCCAAATCAACAGAATCCCTCTACTCCAAACTGACCAGCCTCGGTTTCCCAGCTGGCGCAGATGTTTCCAATTTCGCTGCCCATCTCTACAGTGCAGTGCCCAAGAAATCAAAGCACAAGCATTCATTCAATTTGCACGAATCAAGGGACTCTAGGAAAAAGAAGGAGCGACTCGCCGTTGATCAAAACTCGCAAAGATACGGTCTTCTCTTGGAAGATGACAACGACGACAACGGCAACACTCCCAGCACCTCCAATCTCCCATCTAAGAAAAGAGACAAAAAATCAAAGGATAAGCGATCTTTTAGAAGGAGAGATGACGACGACGCTTGGAAGAGCGATGACGAGGATAAATCCCGAAAGCGTGCGAGAGATATCTCCCCATCTCCTCCCCAAGGTGGAATAGATGACAATATTGAAGACGAGGATGCTAAGGAGAGAAGATTGGTTGAAGAGGATGCTCGAGAGCGTGATGAATTCGCCGAGCGTATGAAAGACAAAGACCGAGACCGCACCAAGAAGCTCGTCGAAGATCGCACCAATGACAGCGAGACAGTGCTACGAAGGAAGCTCGCCGACGATAAAGACGCGCGCAAAGAAGCTATGCCTGATCTCCGTCTCCGTTCGCGCCAGGAATACCTCACTAAGCGTGAAATGCAGCAGTTGGAATTACTTAAGAAGAGCATCGCTGATGAAGAGTCCATGTTTGCTGGGGTGGCCATGTCCAGGCAAGAAATTGAGGAACTAGATCGCAAGAAGGCTGCACTCGCACTCGCTGAAGAACGTCTCAGGATTGATGACAAAGTTGACGGTTACATGCTCCCAGATGACTATATCACCGAGCAAGGTAAAATCGATTCCAAGAAGAAGAATAACGTTTTATATGCACGCTATGAGGAGGGCAAGAAGGGTCAGGATCCTTCTGAGTTTGTTACTGATGTCGATCAGTGGGAGAAAGAGCAAACTGATAAGGCTCAGCTCACTACCGGTGCCCAAGACAGAGAAGTGACTGTAGACGATTATGACTTTGTCTTTGATGAGTCCCAGACAATCAAGTTTATCGCCGATTCCACCCTCTCAGGCAACAAGAGACAGACAACCGAACAAGCTCAGATGGAGGCTTCCATACAGGAGGCTGAAAATAGAGCAAAGTCCATCGATCAAGTCAGGAAGTCTCTCCCTATCTATGATTACAGGGGCGATATACTACAGGCTGTCCAAGACCATCCCGTGCTTATCGTCTGTGCAGAGACAGGATCTGGAAAGACCACTCAACTCACCCAATACCTCCATGAAGCGGGATACACTAAGAATGGACGTAAAATTGGATGTACGCAGCCTAGACGTGTCGCTGCAATGTCTGTTGCTGCCAGAGTGGCTGAGGAGATGGGTAGCAAGGTTGGATATGATGTCGGATATTCTATTCGGTTTGAAGACATGACGACTGACAAAACTATGATTAAGTACCTCACTGATGGTATGCTTCTTAGGGAATTCCTCACTGAACCTGATCTCGCTAGCTACTCGGCTCTCATCATTGACGAGGCGCATGAACGTACACTCTCGACTGACATTTTGTTCGGCTTGGTGAAAGACATTGCTAGATACAGACCTGATCTTAGGCTATTGATATCTTCCGCGACGATGGATGCCGAGAAATTTAGCGAGTATTTTGATGACGCACCGGTCTTCTATGGTGAGTCAGCTTCAGAAGAGATTGAGTCGGTAACTGATACGGCTGCAGTACCCGGGCGTCGCTACCCGATCGATATTCACTACACACCGCAACCCGAAGCCAACTACCTACATGCGGCGGTGACAACGGTGTTTCAAATTCACACTACGCAACCGCGGGGCGATATTCTCGTCTTTTTGACTGGTCAGGACGAGATTGAAGCTGCGGCGGAGAATATACAGGAGACAGCGCGTGTGCTTGGCGACAGGATACCTGAGCTGCTCGTGTGTCCCATCTACGCAAACTTACCTTCAGAAATGCAGGCTAAGATATTCGAGCCGACGCCGCAAGGTGCACGCAAGGTGGTGCTTGCAACTAACATTGCCGAGACGTCTATCACGATTGATGGTGTCGTTTTCGTCATTGACCCCGGTTTCGTTAAGCAAAACGCTTATAACCCCCGCACTGGCATGAGCAGCCTGATCGTAACGCCGTGCTCTCGTGCAGCTGCTAAACAGCGCGCTGGACGTGCCGGTCGTGTTGGCCCGGGTAAATGTTTCCGCCTCTACACCAAATGGGCACACAATAACGAGCTCGACGAGAGCACTGTGCCGGAAATTCAACGCACTAATCTGGGCATGGTCGTGCTTATGCTGAAGAGTTTGGGTATTAACGATCTTATCGGGTTCGATTTTATGGATCCTCCGCCAGGAGAGACTATCATAAAGGCACTCGAGATGCTCTATGCACTTGGCGCACTCAATAGCAAGGGAGAGCTAACTAAGATGGGTAGAAGAATGGCGGAGTTTCCGGTCGACCCTATGCTGAGCAAGAGCATATTAGCGAGTGAGGGCTACGGGTGCACGGATGAGGTGCTCAGTATAATCGCTATGCTTTCCGAGTCTGCCTCTCTGTTTTTCCGCCCTAAGGATAAGAAGATGCATGCAGACAAAGCTAGACAGAACTTCATCAAGCCTGGTGGAGACCACTTTACGCTGCTGAATGTATGGCAGCAGTGGGCCGATACCGGATTTAGTCAGCAGTGGTGTTACGAGAACTATGTGCAGTACAAGGTGCTCTGTCGGGTGCGAGATATTCGAGATCAATTGGCAGGACTGTGCGAGAGGGTGGAGCTCTTTGTCGAGAGCAGCGTGAAGGCTGACGATATCATACCCATCCAGAAGGCCATCCTGAGCGGCTACTTTTACAACACCGCGCGGATGGACAAGGGAGGCGGGTCGTATAGGACGCTGAAAAGTAGGTGTAAGAGTTTTCTTTTGCGCAAACTCGCTAACCACGCCCTATCAGCCAACCAGACTGTGCATATACACCCGACTAGCTCGGCATTCAACATGCAGCCGCCACCTCGACACATGCTCTTCTACGAGCTCGTACTCACTTCGAAAGAGTATATGCGACAGATAATGCCTATCCAGTCCAGCTGGCTGGCAGAAGTCGCACCGCACTACTTCACGTCGCAAGACCTCCAGGACCTTAACACGAGCAACAGGAAAATGCCCAAAGCGGTAGGGAAGTAGCGGTGACTGTATTGATTATGTAAAAACAAATATAATATATGCCGCACATGCCAATATTTACTTGTTTTGGCCGAACCATCATCCATTAATGGCCGATCAACAACCACCACACGAAGGACACGAAGGACACGATGATCCAATGGGGGATTTCGACAGGACGGTGATAGTGCATCTCGACCACTTCTTTGCGAATGCAGATGAGAACGGGCAAGGGCAAGGGCGTGGGCATACGCATACGCACACGCACGAAAGGCACAGCGACGACGGCAGCAACCAGGAGAACGGTGACGGGGTTGATGAACGTAGCGAACGCAACCCAGAAGGTGTGGGAGGAGTGCACACCACACACCACACACCACTAACAGACATACCAGAACGCAGAGACAGCCCGTTCCCGCGCCCGCTTATACCTGTCCAGATACTTTTATCGTCATTCATGGCAGCGCTGCGAGCGCGCAATGGCGGTGGTGGTGGCGTGGCTGGTGTGGATGGCGCGAACGGCGGTGCTGGTGCGAATGCGAATGCAAATACTAACGGTAATGCGAACGGGGGTCCACCTGAATTGACGGGAATGGGTTTCCGTATCGAACGCAGTCCGCTGCCTGCAGAACACCCACTGCGCCAGCACCTCAGCCATTTGCGGGGGCAGGAGGGGCATGGTAGTGATACAGCGCACTCTCCACACCCAAATTACACTCAAACTCAAAATGGCGGCGGTGAGATGGGCGAGCGCAGCAGCCTCCTCGAACGCATCGAGGAGCTGCATAGCAGGAACCCCTACGGCGAAAATGCTTCCCGCCTCCCGCCACCGTTTACTATTACTATCAATTTCCCTATCGCGGGCGGACTGCATAGCGAGAAGAAGGCTGATCCCGCTCGCGCTGAAACCATCCTTGGCGCTCTGCCGAAGCTGCATAAGGGCGTGACGAGACGTATGAGCAGAGTCGGCGTCGAGACTACGTGTGGCGTCTGTCTCGATAGCCTCAATGCCAAAGCTCCACTACAGAAGGCGGAGAATAGTGCGGGTGCAGAGGGTGGCGAGAATAGGGAGAATAGGGAGAGCGGCACGAGTGAAACAAATACTACTTGCAGCACTCCCTCTCCAGAAGATGAAGCAAAACGCGAAGAAGAAATCGTCGCTCTGCCATGCTCGCACGTGTTCCACTCTAACTGCTTAAGACCGTGGTTCGCACTGCACACGCTCTGTCCGATGTGTCGCTTCGATCTCGATCCCGAGTCAATGACCATGTCGACGCCGCCGCCAGAAGAGAGAGGAAGGGAGGGCGAGGACAACCCTTTTGTCAGCATCATCGAACGTCTCGTGAGAGGTAATAGAGAACGGGCACCGGCACCAGAAGAAACCAACAACGGCGGCCGAGCTGAAAGTGCAGCTGCGTCAGGCAGGAGCAGTCGTCATCACCCCTATGCTCGCGTGAGGTCGGCCGGTGAAGGCGGCAGTCGCGATAGCCGCCCCGCTCGCAACACTCGCTCGGCAACTGCTGCTGCTGCGACGGCCGCTTCGCTCGATGAAACACACACACAAACACAAACACACTCACATTCACACACTCAGCGTCCACCACCACCCCCAAAGAAGTTTGAAATACCAAAGGCTGGACGCTCGCTCGAGGATATTCTAATTAAGCGTGAGAGAGAGAATGGACTGCGGTGCGATATGAAGGAGTGCAAACTGGGCCCGACGGATGAGTCAGAAAGGCTCGAAACGGCAGATATGCTGTCTATAGGTGGAGCAGAGAAACCAGTCTGCTCACACTTCCTTCACTCTCATTGCTATCACCTCGCCAATGGGAACTGTAGATATTATAACCCGGCGCACACACATCAAGACGGCTGCGTATTGTCGAGATGTCCTATATGTAAGACAATTGGGAGTGTGGAGAAGCATGAGCTGGTACATTAAACAACGATATCACGATATCACAAAGCTTGAACAGCCATTTGGATAACGAATAACGACATTTCTTGATAAATTTTAACAGCATTTGTATTGTGATATAGCTATCAAACCTAATTTTTGTGATGAACTCAGTTACGTCAATTGGGCCAGAACTCTCGAGGCCAATGGCTCGCATAAAACCGCCTCGATTCGCTGCATATCTTAAGCTTGCAAATGACCTTCAGCCTTTTGCGGTTCTTGTCCTTTACGCACCTCCACCACCACAAGACACAACGACAGAAGAAAATGGGGAACAAGTCGTCGAAGCTACCGCCACAGGATCTCGAATCGCTGACCAAAGACACTTACTTTGACAGGAGGGAGATTAAGCAGTGGTGCGTTGGATTGCACATGTAATTTGTTTCTAACCCTCATTTCGCAGGTACAGGGGATTCCACAAGGACTGTCCGAGTGGCGAGCTCGACGAGCGCAGCTTTGCAGAAATCTACAAGCAATTCTTTCCATTCGGCGACCCTTCCAGCTTCTCGAAGCATGTTTTCAAGGTATTTGATACTGATCGTAACGGGCGAATCAATTTCAAAGAGTGTGAGTCGCAGGCGTTCGTGGCGCATTGGTGCACTCGCTCACACCCCTCGCAGTCCTCTCCGCCCTATCTGTCACTAGCAGGGGCAAGCTCGACGAGAAACTGAAATGGGCTTTCCAGCTGTACGATATAGACGACGATGGTACGATAACGTATGACGTGAGTGTACGATGCTTAACGTCCCTGCGCTGCTAATTCAACGCAGGAAATGCTCACTATCGTGCGGTCTATCTACCTCATGTCAGGCACTATCGTAAAACTACCTGAAGATGAAAACACTCCCGAGAAACGCGTCAGCAAGATATTCGCTGCTATGGATAAGGATAAGAACAGCTCACTCGATTATAACGAGTTTGTTGAGGGTTCTAAGAAAGATGAAACTATCTTGCAGGCTCTGAGCTTATACGATGGCCTGGTTTGATCGTTTCTTGATCACTGAGCAATTCACGAACGTCATTATAGATACTTTGAACGATTCCATCCCTCTTCTCTCTAGCGCGAACAATTTGATCTCTTCTGTAACTTACCTGGTATCCATTATTACGTGTTCTTTTATGTCTTTAATGCAGTGCTGGCATTGTTTTTTTTTAAGCTGGTATTCGTTCTTACGTGTCACGAGGATATTCAGGTACTATCTCTGACGACAACTTACCGAGACAGAAGCGAGCGGGAAGTGAGTTGCGGGCAGGGTGCTATGGAAGCAATTGAGCTCTATTTTTGCTTAAATGACGCTCAAATCCCATTACAATGTCACATGCATCGCCTCTCAGGGAAAATTGGCCTGCGCAGTCGATTTTCGAAGAAACATTCGCAAAAGGCAGGTGACGGACAAGCATAAATATATCAGGTCTTTTATAAAAGACACAGTTGCTTCAATTGCCACCGTTCTAGCGTTCTTGGCTTCGGTGATATCACCGAAAGTAGAGCATATGATACAGTGGCAAAACAAAGTGAGCTCGTAAATGAGACAGGAGAAGACATGTACCGTAAACTACAATACATGCATCTCATATGATCTTGTACTGCACCAGTGCGGATGCGCCGAAAACCACCGGAAATCTCCCTTATCTAATTTTTAATTTTGATGCGTTAAGAAGAGCGTCACTTGCGCGCGCCTTTCTTTAACACACTTTACAAACACAGAAATGGTAAGTTGACGATCGTTCCCTTGGTATCCGTGCAGGCTGCCCGCCTCGCTACTCGTGCGGCTCGCCTCCTCCATTCTTCGCTTGGGGCCGGCGGAAGATCGCCGCAGGCGGTCGTTTGAGCAAGCAGAGTGAATGGAAGCGAGGAACACAATTGGCGGCTGTCGATTTGCCGTGCACTGTGCCGTAGCGTCTCTCGGTTGTTGCATGAGTCATTTATTGCGCAACCCCGGAAAAAGGTTCCGCTATTCTGCCGGCAATTCTAGCACCACCGTAGCTAAGCACTACCTGGAATTTAATCCAGCAGCCATAGCTTGGCGGCTTCTGCATGGATACCAACATCTGAAGCATTCACTAACATCACGTAGGCCCCACCAGCAGAACCAGAATTCGAGCAAGCTCTTCACGAGGTCGAAAGCACTTTGGCTCCTCTCTTTGAAAAGCAGCCGGAGTACAAGAAGGCTCTCAAAGTGATCCAAGTCCCAGAACGTGTCATCCAATTCCGCGTTCCATGGGAGAACGACAACGGTGAAGTTGAAGTCAATATCGGTTACAGAGTCCAATTCAACTCTGCTCTCGGTCCATACAAGGTGTGTTGATAGATGAAAATTTGCATCATTACCTAACACTCAGTCCCAGGGTGGCTTGAGATTGCACGAAACTGTCAACCTTTCCATCTTGAAGTTCCTTGGATTCGAACAGATCTTCAAAAACGCCTTAACTGGCTTGCAGCTTGGTGGTGGCAAGGGTGGTTCCTGCTTTTCGCCAAAGGGCCGCTCGGAAAATGAAATCCGCCGTTTCTGTCAGTCCTTCATGACTGAATTGTCAAAGCACATTGGTCAAGACACTGATGTTCCAGCTGGTGACATTGGTACCACTGGTCGTGAAGTAGGCTACATGTTCGGCCAATACAAGAGACTCCGTAACGAGTTCACCGGTATTCTCACCGGTAAGGCTCTCGCATGGGGTGGATCCCTTATCAGACCAGAAGCCACTGGTTACGGTGTTGTCTACTATGTTGTTGAAATGCTCAAGTACTTTAACGAGACTGTTAAGGGCAAGCGTACCCTCGTTTCTGGCTCCGGTAACGTCGCTCAATACGCTGCACTCAAGGTCATTGAGCTCGGTGGCTCGGTCCACTCTCTCTCCGACTCAAGGGGCACCGTCATCTCTGCAAGTGGATTCACTCCAGACGAAATTTTCGAAATTCAAGACCTCAAGGCCAAATTTGGTTACCTTAACGACTGGGTTAAGTCGAAAGGTGATAAATTCGTTTACCACGCCGGTGCACGTCCATGGACTCTTGTCGACAAGGTTGACATTGCGCTTCCATCTGCCACCCAAAATGAGGTCTCTGGCGATGAAGCCAAGGCACTCATCAAGGCAGGTTGCAGAATTGTCGCTGAAGGATCAAACATGGGCTCAACACAAGAGGCCATCGATGTCTACGAGTCAACCCTTCAAACCGACAAGCCATTGTGGTATGGTCCAGGTAAGGCTGCCAACTCTGGTGGTGTTGCTGTGTCTGGTCTCGAAATGGCTCAAAACTCAGCAAGAATCCAATGGACTGCTCAAGATGTTGATGCTCGTCTCGAAATCATCATGAAGGAGTGCTTCCAGAACTGCTTTGAAGTCGGTCAGAAGTATGGTGCTGGTAGGGGTTACCCATCCCTCGTCACCGGTGCCAACATTGCTGGATTCTTGAAGGTTGCTGATGCTATGAAGTCTCACGGTGACTGGTACTAAGCGTGCGATGTTATGTTGCCATTTTCCACTTCGTTTCTTTCTGTTCGTTTTTACTTACCCTTACACACTCACTGTAAACGCATAAATACTCTTGTGAAATTATGTCTTTGTTTGTGTCTGATATGTATGAGTGAGGCTGATTTGGTATAATAGCACTGATGAAATAAGGAGGTATTAATGAGATAACTTGGTAGTTTGAAAAATTGCTGTTTCATGCAGTGCGAATCGACTCTTGGTAACACAGTTGCTCATATAGCCTTGCAATTCACTTAGAACGTGAACATATCGACAGGAATGGTCAATAGGTCCACTTTAAGAAAACGCTTCTCTAATAAAACATTCAAACTCAACTCACAATTCCCCCCAAATATCACCGACTGATATCAACATCAGCCCAACCTTGGCACAGTAGATTGACTTTTAGAAATCTTCAAATAAAAATACTTAATTGATAGCCCTAGATAAAAACACGCTCTAATGACTAGATTTGCTGCCATTGAGTCGCTATGGCGCCTTGTGGGCTCTTCGGAAGCTGCAATCCGGCATCACCCCTAAGCCGCCAATACCCGAGTAAAGCATGATAAATATCCATTAACTGCTGTATTAATGGGAAGCACTAATACGTAAACGTCTCCGGTACAGCATGTGCCCTACTCATATGAATTTTCACTATCCACAGCTTACTTGGTAAAATCACCAAAAAAGAAAAAGAAAAACACGCAGCAAACATCTGGGAAATAAGAATCATCAATTAGCGTTAAATGTACATTTACTGTAAGAGTACTTGAAGCGTGTAATGTGTTTTGCCTTTGTGAAATAAGGCGAAACTTAATGGCCAGCGACGGTGTGAGCGTTCTTGTTGCCGTTGAATTCGACCTTTCCGAGAGATTCGAAGATAGCTTGCTTGTGAGCGTTAGCGTTAGTTCCTGCGTCTTTTGACTGTTGAGATGTGAGCAAGGTGTCTAGATAACAAACCCCACATACGACGTGAGCAGCGCTGGCGTGGGCTTTAGAGCCAGTGTGGATTGAGCGGGTGAATTGGGCGATGAATCTTGTACTGAACATTTGTTTTGTAGCTGCGGTGGTTCAGGACAAGTTCCATATCGGGCTCTTTATCTTCCCCACACTATCGCACCCCAACGAATTAATCGAGAATCGTATGACCGTTGCTTTTCATTTAAACAAACAAACCCGAGCAAATAAGTAGACATATTGTGATATGCGGAGTGTGAATTTAGGTATGCGCTGCAAGACTAAGTTTGATTTGTTTTTGTGGGTGAAAATCTTCCCAGGACCACGCAGCACAAGGCTAAAAAGAGAGTAAACGTGATTAATAGATGCTGATAGCCTATCTATACACTTCCCACTCTTTGTCTCCAACATTTCTCATCACTGGCACTCGCGCCTCAGACGCGTAAAACGACTTCATTAACGATCAAAATGTGAGAGATAAAATTAGTACAGCGGGCTTAAATTTATAAGAAAACCAGGGCTTCTATATTGGGAGATGACCCGCAGCTGGAGACAGACTTGAAGGCACAGCGCGTCGAGGTCTTCTCAGCATTCCTCGATAATGAAGTGGGTTTGCGAGGGCTAGAGCGCGTACACGGCGTTGACGCATTCACAGCAATCACCAACATACAATTACAGAGAAGAGGTTAAGAAAATGCTTAGACAAGGCCAGCAACGCTTGATCGTTAACATCGACGATCTGCGTGACTACAGGAGAGACTATGCAGATGGATTACTCAAGACACCTAACGATTTCTTCCCTGCGCTGGAAGATGCCCTGCACGGCGTAATCCAAGTAGTCCACAATCCAGACACAGACGATATCACCAACAAATCTTATTACTGTGGATTGAGAGGTTCTTTCGGTGATAATCATGTGAATCCACGTACTCTACGCGCTATGCATATTGGCAATATGATTTCTTTGGAGGGTATAGTTACGAGATGTGAGCGACGACTTTTCGTCCACACAAGATGACTCACACATACACAGGCTCGCTTGTTCGCCCAAAAATGTTAAAGAGCGTTCATTATTGCCCCACTACGCAAGAATTTCACTCTAGAGAGTACAGAGACGCTCAAATGCTTGGTAGCGCTCCTATAACGACTTCAGTGATTCCAACGACGGATGATTCCAACAACCCACTACAAACTGAGTTCGGTTTCTCCACTTTCAAAGATCAGCAAATGATTTCAATCCAAGAAATGCCAGAAAGAGCTCCGGCAGGTCAACTTCCACGCAGCATCGACGTACAAATGTATGACGATATGGTCGATAAAGTTAAACCAGGCGACAGAATACAGCTTGTTGGTGTCTATAGAGCTATCTCTGGTGGTGCTGGTACATCAGCCACCGTGAAGACAGTCTTGCTCTCCAACAACGCCATTTTGCTATCTTCTAAAGCTGGTGGTGGTATTGCACAGATGATGATCACAGATAGCGATGTTAGACAAATCAACAAACTATCAAAGCGTAAGAATATATTCAATCTCCTCTCCCAATCTCTCGCTCCGTCTATCTACGGTCATGATTATATCAAAAAGGCCATCTTGTTGCTCTTGTTAGGAGGACAGGAGAAAAATTTGGACAACGGTACACATATTCGTGGTGATATCAACATCCTCATGGTCGGTGATCCATCAACCGCCAAATCTCAGATGCTCAGATTTGTTCTCAACACTGCGCCACTCGCAATCGCAACCACCGGTAGAGGATCATCTGGCGTTGGTTTAACAGCAGCTGTCAACACTGACAAAGAAACTGGTGAACGTAGACTAGAAGCTGGAGCGATGGTTCTCGCAGATCGCGGTGCCGTGTGTATTGATGAGTTTGACAAGATGAGCGATGTTGACAGAGTTGCTATTCACGAAGTTATGGAGCAGCAAACAGTGACTATCGCCAAAGCTGGTATACACACCTCATTGAATGCTAGATGCTCAGTTGTTGCAGCTGCTAATCCTATTTACGGCCAGTATGACGTACACAAGGATCCACACAGAAACATAGCTCTCCCAGACTCACTTCTATCACGTTTCGATTTGTTATTCATTGTTACTGATGATGTTGACGAGGAGCGCGATAGATTAATGTCGGAGCACGTATTGCGTATGCACAGATACCTCCAGCCAGGAGTTGAAGAAGGTACTCCAGCAGTAGACAATCTCGACCAGGCGTTGGATGTTGGTACACAAGCAGAAGAAGCAGTCGTTGAGACGCAACCATTTGAGAAGTTTAACCCACTGTTGCATGCTGGTGTCACTACCACTGTAGGCAAGGGCAAAAATAAACGTAAGGAAGTACTGTCGATCAACTTTGTGAAGAAATACGTTCAGTATGCAAAGAATAGAATCACGCCCCAGTTAACCAAAACTGCTTCAGAATATATCGTCGATGTCTACGCTGGATTGAGAAACGATGACCAGGCAGCCAACACACGTCGCACTACTCCATTAACTGCACGTACATTGGAGACGCTCATTCGTTTAGCTACCGGCCACGCCAAATCAAGACTATCGCAGACTGTCGATGAGGTTGATGCACAAGCAGCAGAGGAGATACTCAGGTTCGCCTTGTTCAAGGAAGTGATCCGAACGACCAAGAGCAAAGGAGGCAAGAGTGATGGAAAGAAGAAGCGTAAGCTCAACACTGGTAGTGGAGCAGTACCAAGCGATTCAGAAATGGATGAGGACGACGGAGAAGCTGGCGATGGAGATGCTAGTGAGGATAGCGATGATGACGATGATGATAAGGAGCAGATGCAGCAAGAAGGGAATGATGAAAACGATGCTGCTGAAGCTGCTGCTATGCTTGATAATTCTATGATGGACACCTCGATGAACTTTGACGGCGGCGCTAGCACGAGAGCAACTCCTGCTCCTAGTGTGCCGCCTCGCTCTCGAGCACAGACTGTCGAGCAGGCGACACCTGCACCTGGGCAAACTTCTGCTTCTGGTGGTGATGAACTCAATCCACAGCGTGTCGCCCTTTTCAAAACCAACTTTGCTAACGCTTTGCAGTCGACATTCGACGGTGAAGAGGCTGTTGGTGTCGAAGATGCCGTACAAGAAGTCAATAAGGGTCTCGGTACGGATGCATTGTTCGGTTCTACAGAAGCATTGAAGGTTCTCGAACAAATGAACACGGAGAACGATATGTGAGTGGAGTTTAATAGAGATCCAGGGCGTACTGACATCAATTGCAGCATGTTATCCGGTGGCATAATCTACAAAATCTAGGCAACATAATTTATACCAATTAAAGTGCATGTATTTATAATTAAGTCCGGTTATTATTATGTAGTCGTCTCGTCATTAGTAGAAGAAGGAAGCATGAAGATTAGTTAGAACTGTGTGAAAATAGACTGCATTTGTATGAGTGAGTAACTAAGGAGCGATGGACAATCACTTACGCTACGAAATAAAATGGCACAGCACATAATAAAACAAATGTGGTTATCCAAACCAGCCATAATGAAACGCCATAATGAACAGTCACACCCAAAGCGTCTGTTTTGTTGTTCAGTGAAAATTTGCATGATCGACCAACTTACCACCATTTACGTCTCTCATTTTGACAATAACAGCTGTGAGGATTGAAGAGCCGACTGTGACGGTCAAGAAAGCAAGCAAACAAAAAACGCCTGCGAAAGAGATAGTATAGCGTATGGGGATCAAACCAGCAAACAGAGCAACGCCTGTGAAAATTGCTGACAAGAAGATAAGCCAATATCCAGCAGCGCTATATTCCCTCAGATAGTCGCTAGACGTGAAGGTGGATTGTGATGTTTCGAAGTGTTGTCTGACAGCATCTTTGAGGTTTTCTGGCGTGTCTTCAATAATGTAAGTGTAAGGATCCAATCTAGAAATGAAATGTGAGTCTGCGTCTCTTGCCAACTCGCAAACTCCATCTCTCCTATCCTCGATTGTGCCACAGTAAGAGTACTGACCAAAGTAGTACTCCTGTCTCACACCCAGACTCTGTCCAAGAGCAGCTTCCGAGTCATTTGCGTATAGTGTCTATTTCGGCTTTGTGATTAGTCGTGGAGATTATACGTGTGTGACATCACCACTCACTGATACGTCGAGTTCGCCGTTTTGGATGCTGAGCTGTTGGCCTAAAGATGATGTGTCTACTGAGATATACTTGAGCGCAGACGGCACCAAGTCAGTGCTAATAGCGCTAATGTTTACGAATATGAGAAGTACGCCGCTTGACAAGGTCAAAAGGACATAAATGAGGATTGAGATGAGCTTCAACGCTAAACCCATTTTAATGATTATTGATTGTGTTGTATTCGCTACGTTTAGATTCTTGGTTCTACTTCTTGCGCTTTCAAGTCTTATAACACTAAATTAAAATTTCACACAAGGTGCAGTGATGATAGTAGACGAGCTAGAGCGTGATCAAGTATTTGTAAAGCATTTGAAATTTATTCCAAGTTTGAAACATATCTTTATTGGTTTCCGTATCTCATTCCTTTTCGGGTCTGCTATGTCAAGCTCTGAATTTGCTATGAAAATTTGAGCGTGTAATCGTTTGCAGCACAAATCTTGACTATTCTCAAATGCTGCTTCCGATAATGACTCATCCTTTATAAAATCAAGCATGCGTTTTATCCCAACACACTGTCTCATAATGCACGTCTTCTCTCCTCTGAAAATTTGCTCACCAAATTATTAGCTGAAATACATAGATTAGGAAACAAAGATCACTATCAAATTAAGATATCATGAGAAAGACTTTTATTTAAAGAAATCACTACCAAGTCTCATATCCACCGCTGACTTTCACATCAGATCCTTGAACGAAGCTGCTGGCTGAGGACAGTAACCACACAGCTGCACCACGTAGCTCATGACTGTAAAAGTGGTTAGTTACGGTCATTATCAATGTATCAAGAACTCACTGTATACCAAGACGCTGCATGGGTGATCCACTCTCCCACTTCTCTTTCAATCCAGGATTCTGCGCAAACACAGCTTCCGTCATATTGGTTGAGAAATGACCAGGCGAGATGCAATTCACTCTGATATCGTCCGGACCAAGCTCTGCAGCCATTGAACGAGCCATCTGGAGAACAGCACTTTTAGCACTATTGTAGCCAACCCAATGTTGATCGCGGTTTGTTATAGATCCACTCATACTGGCTATCATAGCGATCGAGCCTGTTTGCTTGTACTTCTTCATCTGCCTAGCTACGCCTTGACTTGTGTAGAGAACACCGCCAGCATTGATTCGCATAATTCTCTCGAATGCTTCAGAGGGATAATCACTGCAGTCGTAGGTCTCTAGAATTGCCGCAGCGCATACAGCTCCATTGATACCGCCTTCCTCTTCGCCTATTTTGTCACAGAGAGCGAAGACAGCTTTCTGATCAGAAACATCGATTTGGTGGTATATTAAGCGACTTCCGAGCGCGCTGACGTAGTCTTGCACAGCTTTAAATGTCGTGTTAGGGGATGCTGCCATGTCGAACACATGCACGTTTGCACCAGCTTCACAAAGCGATTGTGCAATCTCTAAACCGAGACCGCCTGCTCCTCCAGATACAACTGTACACTTTGATCGAGTTAGATCTGAATTCAAGTTAAACCAATTTGACTCACTTTGCCCTCTAGTGAAAATTCGTTGAAAATATCCCTCGTGGCTTCGCGTTTGCCTTGAGCGTGCTGCAAAGCAGCTTCATTACCAATAACACGACCACCGGGCAGCCTGCCTTTAGCATTAGGGGCTGATGGAGCGTGTGTGAATGGGGAGGGTATCGGTGTCTTAAGTACTGCTGAGCTTTTGAAGGTGCGAGTGGGCTTGAAACTTCTGTTATTTCTGAATGCTCTTGTTAAGATCATAGTTAAGTGATAAAGCGTTCGCTGCGGTGTGGAAGCGTCTTATACTCTCAGATCACACCGGCCGGTCATATGAACAATCGGGCCATTCTGGAGAAATGTTGAATGATTTCAAAAACCTTTGAATCTAAGTAGTAGAATTAGTGAGAATACTGGAAGAACAAAGCGATTGCTTCGTCCATGTCGTCTGTTTGGCGTGTTGTCGGCGCTGCGGTGAAATGGTGGCGGAGGTGGCTAAATAGAGTTGTAATTGAGTTTTACATGAGAACTTAAAATATTATCCAATTGTCGTTGATTTTTGATCGGATTAAAACAGTGAAACTCTTGCCGACAAGCCACCAAGGAATTTCAAGGAATTTCAAATTATCTTCAACTCAATGGCAAGAACAGTATTGATCACTGGATGTAGTCAAGGTTAGCTCAACTATTGCCCTCTAATATTTCTGGCATTCCTAACACTCTATTAGATGGCATCGGTGAATCGCTCGCTATAAGCTTCCAAAGAGCAAATTGCGAGGTTATAGCCACCGCTAGAGATGCCTGCAAAATGAAAAGACTCGCGGAATCTGGAATCAGAACGCTGGAAATCGATATATCCAGTGACGACAGTGTAAACGCTGCTGTTCAGAAGCTCGCAGAAGAAAATATATCCATAGATATACTCGTAAATAACGCCGGTATAATAAACAACGGGCCTTTGGTTGAAACTTCCTTAGATACCGCCCAGAAGGTTATCAACACCAACGTCATCGGCTCCTTCCGTCTCACAAAGGCGCTCGTACCCTCTATGATTAAGTCAAAAGAAGGCCTCGTTATAAATGTCAGCTCTGTCGTAGGCGAAGTTCCTCTTCCTTTCGGTGGTTTTTACGCTATAAGCAAATCAGCCTTGAATACCCTTTCAACAGTCTTGCGTACAGAGCTAGAACCATTCAATATCAAAGTCATGGTCCTCGAGCCAGGCGCTGTGAAGAGCAACATTGCGAATAATCACCTTCCATACACTGCTTCCGAGGCATCTCCGTACCATCCTATTAAAGACTTGATTGCAAACAGATTGCAACTCTCTCAAATACACTCAACAGCGCCTGGAAGAGAAGCCTTTGCCGATGACGTCGTTCGATACGCTCTCAAAAGGTCACCACCAAAGCTTCTCATCACAGGAGGCAAAGCGTGGCTCTTCAAGATACTCACAAAGTTACCCTCGTCTCTTGTGCAATGGCTTTTTTCATATAGATTCGGCTTGAAAAAGCTCAAGAACATTGTATCTACTCAGCGCAAGACCAATTGAAATGCTTTGTAATATATCACTAAATACACTCTATAGCAAGATAAATAGGAATGGTTTGAGGTGAGACTGATGTCATCGTCAGTACTTCCATCTCTGAGTATTTTTATGTGGGAATGCAGAGAGTATATAGTTGAATTTGATGCGATAAAATTGCTTGGAGAATCGTAAACTTTGTTTACCAGCTAAAGAAAATGTCCTTGTAAATCAATGGAATGAAAATAGTTGAAAGCAAACAACCCATAATGATAAAATAGATGAATCCATACTTGTAGAATACTCTTCTCCGCTCCATCTGGATCTTGCGTGAGTAAAGCGGTGGTCTGATCTGCTTGGATGGTTTAAGCCAGAACAATGCGATCGAATGTATCCTGTCAAATCCTGGTATAAGTGTTGGAATTGCGAGTATGAGGAATAAAATGTGACATGTCAGAAAGTCAGCCGTGAAGAGCGAGCATTCTGCAATCTTTGCGAAGAATTCTCTCAGTGGATGCGTCATAATATGCTGACCTAGCCCCGTGTACCACCATTTACCGCTCCACCAAGCTCTGTTTGTCTCATCATTCTTGATTTCCCTGCTAAGGAAGGTGGCTATTATTGACTTAACGAATGCTCTTTGAATCGCCATTGAAGTAATGATACCGAGGATGGTTGAACTTCCTCTCCAGTTTTCCAAAAACCATAAATATTCAAATGTGGCAATCTGACCAAGCACCGCAAATGCATGAACAGTTGCAGCCACCATAGCTGGATATTTTTGCCAAAGTCCAGTCAGCTTCCTCCCGTAAAAGAATGACAGCATAAACCCAGTGAGTAGTACCATCGCATTAAGAAGAAGTGGAATAAACGTAACGTGGAGTATTCTGATGAGCATGCTTGGCTTAACGACGTACTCATTGTTGATGGAATTCATGAACATGTAAGCTATGACGAAAATCAGGGCCATAAAACACGGCCAGATTATCTCCGAGAACAACACCACCTGCCAACCTGCCTTGGCGCTGTCATCCAAGTATTTTTCAGATGGTAGACCCAGTATCTTTTTCCGATAACCTGTAACACGAGTACGTGACATCCTACAGAAACTGATCCATGAGTTGGCATGGGTCTTTGAATTGCCTCTCGACATCCAGTGGAGGAATTCTCTATAATCTATGATAAAATCATATAAAGAAAATTGATGAGGGTTGAATGCAAATGGTGCAAGTCTAAAAAATGAATCAATATTGCGAAGAGGTTGAATAACTTCAAGCACTCACGCCAATGCCAATCCAGAAAACAAGAAGTATAATAGATGCGGAACCCACATCGTAAGCGATATGAAAGTAAGCATCAGCAGCGTTCGCATACCCATGTATATACTAGGACCAGCAAATCGCGAGAAAAGTAAAGGAAATGATATTCTGGTAGTAGCGAAACCACGTCCGGTGGCAATATATCTCGCACCACCGAATGTTAACGATGTAACAATCTGTTTAACGGTTAGAAAACTCAACTATGTGGAAAATACCTACAGAGTGACGATAGATTTGTGTTGAAAACACCTCGAAAACTGGGGAAAGTGATAAAAATTGCTTTGTCAACCTGATAAACGCCTTCCATGCACCTCTATCCATGAGCTCGTGCATAAACAGCGGCAGGAAAGCAATCATGAAGACCAAAAAGATGGAAACGATCGTACGCTTGATCCATTCATAAACCGGGTAAAGATTGTAGCAACCAGGCTGCCCACCCACGTAATCTCCATTTTCATCGTGTTTGCAGTCTTCTAGTGTCGCATTCAGCGTACCAAGGAATACCACTAAGGTTACATCAGTAAATATAATGAACGAGAGCGGAAATCCACTTACTTGTTACTGTAATTATTTGTACGGAAAATATAACTAGTGTGTTGTTTACGTGGAAACCACCATGACCG